TTTGTTCCTAAATGTATACATTTATTTACACTTAGACATATTAAAACACATATTGGTAATTTGGTTCCAAGAAAATGAACAATCCCGATCGCTTTGTATCAGTGACCTGTCCTCTTCTTTATTTACCATGTCCCTGATTTTTGTATCATCTGCAAATTTTATCAGTGATGATTTTAAGTTTTCTAGGTTTTTTTATCATTGATACAAATGTTAAAAAGCATAGGACAAAGAACCGATTCCCGCAGGACACCATTAGGAATGTACCAGCTCAATGGTGATTTACAATTACATTTTAAGACCTATCAGTTAATCCAGAGGTGGGCAAACTTTCTGGCCTGAAGGTCACATCTGGGAATAGAAATTGTATGGGGGGCCATGAATGCTCACAGAACTGGGGTTGGGGTGCGGGAGGAGGTCAGGGCTCTGGTTGGGGGTGCGGGCTCCGGGGTGGGGCCAGAAACGAGGAGTTCAGTGTGCAGGAGGGGGCTTTGGGCTGGGATCGAGGGGTTCGGAGAGCACAAGAGGGATCAGGGCTGGGGCAGGGGTGCGTGGAGAGGCTCAGGGGTGCAGGCTCAGGGCAGTGCTTACCTAAAGCGGCTCCCGGAAGCAACAGCATGTCCCTTCTCCAGCTCCAATGTGGAGGTACGGCCAGGCAGCTCTGCACCCTGCCCCATGTGCAGGTGCCACCCCTGGCCAATGGGAGCTGCGGGGGCGAAGCTTGGGATGGGAACAGCGTGCAGAGCAGAGCGCCCTGGCTGCCCCTATGCGTAGGAGCGGGAGGGGAGACATGCCACTGCTTCCAGGAGCCATGTGGAGCTGCCCCAAACTCTGCTCCCCGGCTGGAGCGCCTGAGTACCGGAACGGGGCAAGCCCCAGACCCCGCACCCCAGCGGGAGCTTGACGGCCAGATTAAAATGGCTGGCGGGCTGGATCCTGCCCACAGGCCGTAGTTTGCCCACCCCTGAGTTAATCCATTTAACGTGCCATGTTAATTTTATATAGTTCTAGTTTTTCAATCAAAATGTTGTGTAGTATCAAATCAAATGCCTTACAGAAGTCTATTACATCAACCCTATTACCTTTATCAACCAAACTTATAATCTCACAAAAAAAAAGTTAGTTTGACAGTATCTATTTTCCCTAAACCCAGGTTAATTGGCATTAATTACATTACTCTCCTTTTATTCTTTACTAATCAAGTCCTATACCTGCTGCTCCATTATTTTGCCCAGGATTGATGTCAGACTAACAGGCCTCTAGTTACCCGGGTCATCCTGTTCACCCTTTTTAAATTCTGGTACAACATTAGCTTTCTTCTAGTCATCAGGAACTTCCCCAGTCTTCCCAGGATTATTTAAAATAATATGTCAGATCTGCTTATATAGCTATGTCATCTCCCTGTACTGTCTGAGCCGCTCACTGTGTATATCGTCTTTGGAGTCCCAGGCCATGAACTCTATTTCAGATCAGATACTGCAACTCTCTTTACTATTCAAACTATGCCCCTCACTCTCCTGATTAAACATGCCCAGTTTTTTCAACCTTTCCTCATAGGTCAGGTTTTCTCATTTTTGTTGCTCTCCCCTGGACTTTTTCCAATTTATCCACATCTTTCCAAAACTGTGGCACCTAGAAACGGACACAGTACTCCAGCTGAGGCCTCACCAGTGCTGAGTTAAGCAGGACAATTACCTCCTATGTCTTACATCTGATATTCCTGTTAATACACCCCAGAATGATAGACTTTTTTGCAACTGCTTCACATAATGTGTGCCATGTTAATTTTATATCTTTCTAGTTTTTTAATCAAGATGTCATGCGATACCAAGTAAAACACCTTAAAGAAATCTAAGTATATTACAGCAGCACTATTACCATTGTCAATCAAACTTGTAATCTCATAAAAAAAGATACCAAGTTACTTTGACAGGATCTATATTCCATAAACCCATGGTGATTGGCATTAATTATATTACTCTCCTTTAATTCTTTTATTAATCGAGTCCCATATCAACTGCTCCATCGTCTTGCACGGGATTATGTCAGACTGACAGGCCTATAATTACCCAGATCTTCCCATTCACCCTTTAAATATTGGCAAAACATTAGCTTTCTTCCAGTCTTCTGGAATTTCCCTGGAGTGACAACACTTCTTGAAAATCAGCATTAATGGTCCAGCAATCTCCACAGCCAACTCTTTTAAAATTCTTGCATGCAAGTTATCTGGACCTGCTGATTTTAAAGCGTCGATCTTTTGTTTAACATCCACCCGATATAGCAGTGGAATGGAAAAAAGAGTTACATAATATGCTACATGATCAAGTGTGTTTGCCAAAGCTAGGAAATGGTTACAATAGGCATGACCTGCTGCTCCCACCCCTAACATTATCTGCATACCGCAGCTCAATGTAAAAAGCTTGTAAAGCACATGCAACACCACATCTATTTCTTTGTACTTACTAGAAAATCTGGAGTCACTCTGGATGGGATAAGTCTTACTCAGCACCATCTGATAAATCTGTACCCAAGAACCTCCACCAAACATGGTGACACGATTATGGAAGAAACAGGGAGGGCTTCCCCCACTCTCACCCCTCTGCATCCCAGACACAAAATTTTACAGGGAGCTCCCGCTCCTGCAGCTGTCAGTAATATGAAGACAGGGGAAAACATGATGGGTGGCCTTGTTACTCACAACAAGTGGAAACAAAGGGCCATTTCCTACCTCCTTAGGTAGCTTGCTTCTTCTCTCTCCATGTATTCAACCTGTGAAAGGCAATGGGGAAAGCCCCAGTGTCAGTGGGGGTGTATGACTGAGGCAGGCGGCGTGATGTAAAGCTATTATAATTCATTCACAGTCACACCAAAACCCACAGACCTTACAGCACAGTGGGTCTCTGCTGGGAGGGAGTCATACAGTCTTTGGGGTAAAAGGGACTAGGTTCTAGTGACTCACAAGGGCACAGCTGCCCTTCTCTCTCCTCAAAAATGGGGAAGAAGCATGGCCCAAAGGGGATGATAGGATCAGCAGTTAAATACAAGTCTCTGCCTTTCGGGCTACAACACAAACAGAGAGATTCAAAGTTTGGCCCCAGGTGCCTTTGTGAGAAACCACCATGCTAAGGTAAGGACACATTTTCTATCAAAATTCTGGCCTGACTTTTGTCCACATGGGTAACACTCTAACCTAGACTCTCTAGGGAAAATTAAAAGATTAAAAAGTATATTTACCTGTCAGGCCAGAACATTCCTGTTCCTTGAATAAACAGGAAGAGCCCCACACAAAGCAAACAGCAATGAACATCCAGTACATTCATTTGCTTTTTATGAGGCTGTTTCACTCTCACCATAGAATTAATTAATCCCTGATCCTCCAGTTTATTCCTCACACTCCAGATCCAAGTCCATGCAGAGATAAGTCCTGATTTTGCACTTAAGATAGTTTATAAAACTACCACAACAACTTCTGAACCCAGGAAACAGTGATACACCAGTGACTCACACACAAAGACCTGTATTTCTGGTTGCATCTATCTTGGCAAAAATGGGTCCTGTCATTCACTACTGACAACAGCAACTGTAGTGCACCATCCAATCCCAAGCATTCTAACTATTGTCTCTAATCCTGCGTTATTACAACCGTGGCCAGTGAACTCTGTTTTTCCTGCATGCGATGACAGCAGAGTCTGCACTACATATGGGCAGCATGTGTTCTCGGTGTTTATTACCATAAGGTCACCTCTCAGACCTTAGATTGGGGAACTGAAAGGTTTTTCAAGATAAGACAAACAGTGTGGGAAACGATGGTATTTTAAAGGTAGGACAGATGTTGTGCTTGTCAGATTTGACAGTGTTCCTTGAATATAACGTATAGAGGGTTGTTTCATAACCACAATGGCCATTGCCAAACCAGCAAAAATGGGACCCATGATTTATCATCAGTGTAGCTCTTATTTGGAAAAACTTCTTTGAGTTCCACAACGTAAGATCTGCTATATGATTCCACAGGAATATAACTTGGATTTCTTCACCATACCAGCCACATTCTGCAAGGACATTGTGCAACCTCTCTGCTGTTATTGTGTAAGCAGCAGAAGTAGGGCTAGAGACCACTATTGCAAAACCTCTGTGTGGGGCCTCACTCGCCTGACTCTATCCTATTATGTTTGTTGCTTTTCCAAGTTTTGTTAAGGAAGTTTTTAACTTTCCTTGCACCAGGAAGAGGGTCTAAGGTTAGAGACTTAGGGGGAAAAATCCATAAGTATTTGATAACCTTCTGCATTGTTCTTTATGAATCAGAAACCCTTAGGCCTTGGGGCTGCTTACAATTTGCTCTAGTTTAGTTCAACTGCGGCAGTACAGACCCTTGCTTGGGCACTCTTAGCTCAGTTTCAGTTGAGCGTAACCTGCTCCTAATCAATTTTAAACTAAACTGAAATAAGCTGCTTTTAAAGTTTAAGAGCGTTCACCCAACCTCCTGCACCAGTTTTAAATCGGATTAAAAAATGACCGCTGACATTAAACCAGAGCATTAACATGAGTTACTCTCCTCCAAATGCCCTAGATATTATTCACAGCGCCTTGTGAATCCCCCTGCCCAAAACAACCACCACGGGCCTTCTCAGCCAAGGGGAACAGGCGTTCGCAGCCGTGCCAGCGGGAAGTCCGAAATCTCCCTCCCTAGATGGGCCGAGGCAGCTCCTCCCCGGCCCTTTGTTCCGCTCCCCGAGAGCGACTGAGTCCAGCCAGGCCACCCAACGTGCAGGGCCCAGACGAGGATGACCAGACAGCAAGTGTGAACAATCAGGACAGGAGGTGGGGGGGTAATAAGAGCCTATAGAAGAAAAAGCCCCCAAATCGGGACTGTCCCTATAAAATCGGGACATCTGGTCACCCTCTAGGCGCCAGGTCAGGACGCAGGATGCCGCGGGCGGCGGTGGCGGCCTGGGGGTGCCCCGAGAGGCGCGGGGGGACGGAGGAGCAGGCTGGAGGCTACGCACCTGACCGCGCGCGGGGGTCCCGGGGCTCCAGCAGCGGAGACGACTCGAAGGCGAAAGTGAAAGCGGCTGGTCCGCAGCCCCGGCGGCGGCTGGAGGCGAAGCCCGCGGCGGGGCCAGGCGGAGAGGGGAGCAGCAGCAGTTTCCTGTGGAGCCCGGCCAGGCCCAGGGCGGAGCCGCGGCTGCGTTCGCCCGCCCGAGCGGGTGGATCTCTACGAGGCCGCCCAGCCCCGCTGGCCGGTGCCCTCCCCACGCCCACGGCTGAGAGCACATTGTCATTGTCCCTCCAGCTCGTCTCCCCTCGCTGTACAGCGCCACGCACGACGGCGGGCCCTAGCCCTCGAGAAACAGTCACCCCTGGGTCCCGCCCTGCCTTTGTGCCTTCGCTGGGTGCGGGGAACTTGGGAGACATTCAGGCGCGTCCATGATTTTTCTACCTCTTATAATTGTCCGGCGCAAAATAGCTTCATATACTGATGCAATAACGTAATAGCGCTTCTTACCGGCTGTTTTAGCTCATTTTACAATGTGGGGAGAGTTATAAATATTAGTAGTACTCGGCTCTCTATGAGCTGAGGGGTGAAACCATTATCCCCCATTAGGGCAGGTAATGGGGGATAATAATGTATAACTCTCCCCGCATTTTACAGCTTGGAAATCGGGCAGCATCCTGTGCGACGGAAGTGACTCATGCGTCAACCATTGGAAAGTGGCTTAAGCACCATTAATCCTGCAAATGTTCATGTAGCTTTAAAGCCAAATTTGGGCTCCCCATCGTGGCTGGTTGTGCCTGAATCCAGTCCCCCTGCGTCATTTAAAACAGCGTGAAGGCTGCTCCAAATTATGCTGGCTCCAAGAGGCTGTTCCACAGCGATTGGGATGCAAGGAAATCTTGGCAATGCCCTGCTCCAGCTGCAGGGAAGGGGAGCCGTATAAAAGTCTGTATGCCACTGCAGAGTCCTATGCTGAAGGATTCAGGTGCACATTGTGCTGGCAGTGGCACAAAGTAAGCCCAGTTCTGGGGAAAATCTAGCCCAAAATCTTCACAAATGTTATATTTAAAGGACAATTCATAAAAATTTAGTATCAGTTTATAGAACTGCGGTAGGGCTATGAGAGACATAGACATTTCTACAATTGCTCTTACTACAAATAACCAAAATACTTTTCTACGTGCCTGAACCATTGGCATGATAAGAGGTCCAGTAGCCATTGAGTATCTCACCTAGCATGTTGTCCATGGCTCAGTCAACTGTTTTCCAATGGAATAATGAGCACAAATGAGGGAGGACCTTGGAAAAGTTTGTTACCTTTATCAATATATATTCAAGATTCTGTGGTGTGCTGGATAAGGAAGCCCTTTTGGGGCATACAGATGAGATGTGAAAGTCTTCCAGATCTGTGCATGGTTTTGGCTTATTATGAATGCACTTACAATAATTAATAATACTGCACAGCTATCTAGCAATTCACAGATTCAGAGTGTTGTACAAACCGTAATTAATCCTCAAACACTCCTGTAAAGTAGCTCTTGCTCCTGATTTATAGATGGGGAAACAAAGACACAGAAAAGTTATATCAAATTACTTTACTTGACCACAGCAAGTCAGTGTCAAAGCCAGGAGTAGAACTCAGAGTTATTGTCTCAAAATTCTGGGTTTAGAATGCTAGACTACTGATAACATTTTACATGTATATATCACCTTCCACTCTGAGGGATGTGGAAGCATTTTACAAAACACTGTAAGCATGAATCATTTCATCCTCACTGAAATGCAGCAGCTGAATAACATTACACAGGAACACTATACATAGTTGAGAACAATACTATATGTCATTGAAACTGCAAGGAGAAATTAGGCAAAATGTAATTACTCACACTGGAATGTGGCCAGACACCAAGCTAATATTCTATCTTGCAAAAACATGCTACGAGATATGTATTAACCAGAAGTGGTTAGGATCTCAGTTTAAAATATCTAAAAGGCAGCACCAATAGTACTGTAGTACCTCTGGCATCATGCCACGACATTGGATCAAAAGAAAATATGCCACCCACTGAATCAATATCTTTTCTTCCTTGGATATATTCTATCCAAGTGCACGGAGACCTAAACTGGATTAGAAGGAGAGGACTTTTAAGGTCAAAGCTTGAGGTGCTGCAGGCTAACAGATAATGAATGGATAGTGCAGAGAATTGCTTTCTGCAAAAATCTATGTTAAATTGGCAAATCATCTATTTTGCTAGCACAAGGCCATCTACACACATAAGGGACTGACATACTGCATTATTTATTCATGCCCTCCATTTTCTTTTGAATCACTTTCTTAATTGTGTTGTATGATTGCTCAGCAGTTTGCATATTTTTGCAGATTATAGATATGAGCTAATGTATTTTTCCTTTGCAGTTTCTAAAACTAAACAATATACTATCTCTTCCACTCTGTCCCCCTTCTCCTGAAATAACACATGTATATAAGGCAAAATGTATAATGCACCAGTAAGATCATATGCATATAACTGAGAAGAGATGGATCCTTTAAATTAAATTTAAGAACTTGAGGTCTTGTAGTTTAAAATCCAATCTCTCTCTCAAGCATGTTTCTCTTGATTTTAATTTATTATAGTTTTGTGATTCTCATATGTATTTATGTTTAAAACTCAAGAAAAACATCTCTAAAAAATTGCCCTGATACTACTTACAATTCTATAAGCCTGATAGACTCTATTGTTTTTATGTTAAATTTTTTAAATAGTATTTTATATATACAAGGTCAATTGGTTGCATCTGTTAATATCATTGTGAGTTGCCACTGACTGCATTCAACACACAAGCTTTTTTTTTTTTTTAAACCAATGTTCTAAAAAAGGAAAAGGGCAAAACCCCTAGCAGAGAAAAGCATTTTCAAAAAGTAGAGTGGAGTTTTTCTTAAAGAAACTGTGAAATATATTACTTTACAATTGTATGTTTCAGTCTTCACCCAGCAGTGGGAAAATACTTTGCTTCATTTGGTTTTTCATTATTTATAGAGATGTAAATACCTAAAGATAAAGCCCCCAACTCTTTAACTGGAATGGCTAGTCTGGATCCTTGTAGTTGTGAGGAGCCTTATTGATGTCAAGGGGGTGAAGAGGTCTGCCTACGTATATCCAGCTGCAGGATTGGGCCCCAGATCTTTTCCTAGAAGATGTTGCTTGGAGCAACTGTACATGGCTGAGAAACTGGAGACACAGGTCCCAAACCTGCAGTTAGCTTGGTGTGAACAGATCCCTGTGCAGAGACCCATGGAAGTCAATGGGTCTCTGCAGGAGTTCAACAATCCACATGCCCAGATCCAATTACAGAATTGGAACTGTAAATGAAGAGATTAACTAAGGAAGTCTTTATAGAAACAGTGGATTTTAGGGAGAGATTTGAAGACAGAGAGGTTGGGTGTTTGATTCATGGCAAATAGTGACTTTAACCACGTGATTGGTTTATGAAGAGTCACATACAGTATAATAGGACAAATATGCCTTCTCTAGACTTATGCCATTAAACTGAGATTATAGAAATCTCTTTAAGCATCATATGTACACTATAATGTAGTTGCTGATGTATTAGAATCACAATTAGATGGTATTCTGTGATCATGGAGGATATGAATCTGGGAGTTTATGTACTGAGTAGGGCTGTCAATTAATCGCACTGAACTCACGCGATTAACTAAAAAAAATTAATCGCACTTATAACAATAGAATACCAATTGAAATTTATTAAATATTTTTGGATGTTTTCCTACATTTTCAATATTGATTTCAATTACAACAGAATACAAAGTGCACAGTGCAAATATTTGTAAAAAAATAAATAGTATTTTTCAATTCACCTCATAGAAGTACTGAAATGCAATCTCTTTATCGTGAAAGTGTAATTTACAAATGCAGATTATTTTTGGTTACATAACTGCACTCACAAACAGAACAGTGTAAAACTTTAGAGCCTACAAGTCCACTCAGTCCTACTTCTTATTCTGCCAGTTGCTAAGACAAACAAGTTTGTATACACTGATGGGAGGTACTGCTGCCTGCTTCTCATTTACAATTTCACCTGAAAGTGAGAACAGGCATTTGCATGGCACTTTTGTAATCAGTGTTGCAAGGTATTTATATGCCAGATATGCTAAACATTCATATGCCCCTTCCATGCTTCAGCTACCATTCCAGAGGACATGCTTCCATGCTGATGATGCTCGTTAAAAAAATAATGCATCGATTAAATTTGTGATTGTACTCCTTGGAAGGAGAATTGTATGTCTCCTGCTCTGTTTTACCCACATTCTGCATATATTTCATGTTATAGCAGTCTCGGATGATGACCCAGCACATGTTCATTTTAAGAACACTTTCACAGCAGATTTGACAAAAC